CTGAATATACGTTTTCTCATCAGCTCACCGGGACATTCTCCTAAGATTGACCATATCCTAGGACACAAAGTAAATCTCAAGAAATTAAAAAAATAGGAAATCATACATGTACGCCTTCTCAGATCACAGTGGAATAAAAGTAGAAATCAACCCTAACGAGAAACTCACATTTCTACAAAACGTGGAAATTAAACAACCTCCTACTAAATGATTACTCATAAATGAAGAATCAAGAGGAACATAAAAAATTCTATACTCCTAACACTGCTGGTGTGACTGCAATTAGTTCAACCTCTGTGGAAAGCAATATGGAGATACCTTAAAAGCGATACAAGTGAATCTACCATTTGATCCAGCAACTCCGCATTGTGGGCCATCTACCCAAAGATCCAATACACTCTACAAAAGACACTGCACTCAAATGTTTATGCAGCACAATTCATAATTGCAAGCTGTGGAACACCCAAGTGCCGCATCATCCGCCAAGAATGGATAATAATATGGTATATGTATAGCCATGGAGTACTATTCAGCTCTAAGAAACAATGGTGATATAGACATCTTATATTTCCTGGTTAGAGATGGAACCATACTATTGCTGAAGTTCCCAAGAATGGAAAAACAACGCCCACATATACTCACCAGCAATTGGTATTAACTGAACAGCACCTAAGTGATCACATAGGTACTGCAGTAATGGGTATTGGGCAGGGGGGAGGGGGCGGGTATCATACTATAGTGACAGAGTGAGATGTGCACCATCTGGAGGATGGTCATGCTGGAGACTCAGACTTGTGGGGGGAGGGGGGAAATGGGCATTTATTGAAACCTTAAAATCTGTCCCCCCATAATATGCCGAAATAAAAAAAAAAAAGAGAGAAATAAAAGGCATCCAAATAGGAAAGGAAGAAGTGAAATTGTCTTTGTTGATGACATGATCCTATAGAAAACCTTAAAAATGAATTCAATAAAGTTGCAGGATACAAAATCAATATTCAAAAACAGTAGTATTTTTATACACTAATTATTGAAAAAGAAGTTAAGAAAAAAATCCCATTTGCAATATTATTTAAAAAATACTTAGGAGTAAATTTAACCAAGGAGGTGAAAGATCTGTATATGGACAATGATAAAACATTGATGAAGGAAATGAAAGACACAAATAAATGGAAAGACATTCCATGTTCATGGATTGGAAGAATTAATATTGTTAAAATGTCCATATTGCCCAAAGCAATGTAGAGATTCAATGCAATGCCTACGAAAGTTCCATTGTCATTCTTCATAGAAATAGAAAAAAACAATCCTAAAATTTATATGGAACCACAAAAGTCCTAAAATAACCAAAGCAATCTTGACCAAAAGGAATAAAACTGGAGGCATCGTAGTACCTGATTTCAAAATATATTACAAAGCTAATAGTAATCGAAACAGTCACAGTACTGACATAAATCCAGACACATTACCAACAGAATAGGAGAAAGAGCCCAGAAATAAACCCATGCATTTATGGTCAACTGATTTTCAACTAAAGTGTCAAGAACACATAATAGGGAAAGGACTCTCTTTAATAAATGATATTGGGAAAATTGGCTAGCCACATGTAGAAGAATGAAATTGAACCCACCCACATGTCACCCACCCCACATACAAAAATCAACTCTAAATGGATTAAAGCTTAAATGTAAAACCTGAAACTATAAAATTATGAGAAGAAAACATAGGGGAAAATATCCACAACATTGGTGTAGGCAATGATTTCTTGGATATGACCCCAAAACTACAGGCAACAAAAGCAAAAATAGACAAATGGGACTGCATCAAACTAAAAAGCTAATACACAACAAAGGAAACAATTAACAGAGTAAAGGGATAACCCATAGATTGGGAAAAAATATTTGCAAGTCATACATTTGATAAGGGGCTAATACCACAAATATAGAAGAAACTCAAACTACTGAATAATAAGAAAACAACCCTATTATAAAATGAGCAAAGAACCTAAATAGACATTTCTCAAAAGAAGACACACACAAACGGCCAATAGATATATGAAAAAAAAATGCTCAACTTCACTAATCATCAGGGAAATGCAAATTAAAAACAAAATGAGAAAGAAAAAAAAAAACACAATGAGATATCACCTCCCATCTGTTAGAATAGCTATTATCAAAAGGATGAAAGATAAGTGTTGGTGAGGATATGGGAAAAAGGGAACCCTCTTACACTGTTGGCAGGAATGTTAATTAGTACAGCCATATGCTCCTTCCTCGGAGTCTTGCACTCATTTTCCCATGGCCTGGGACCGAAACAATATGGAGGTTCCTCAAAAAGCTCAAAATCAAATTATCATACAATCCAGCAATCACACTTTTGGGTACATATCCAAAAAAAATGAAATTAGTATGTCAAAGAGATATCTGCAGTCCCATGTTCATTATAGCATTGTTCACAATAGCCAAAATATAGAATCAATCTGAGTGCCCATCAAGACACAAATGGATTAATAAATGTGGTATATATACATAATGGAACACTATTTAGCCTTAAAATAGAAGGAACTTATGTCATTTGCAACGACATGGATGAATCTAGAGGACATGATGTTAAGTGAAATAAGCCAGGCACAGAAAGACAAATATTGCGTGATCTCACTTACATGTGGTATCTAAAAAACAGTCGGACTCATAGAAGTAGAGAGTAGAATGGTGGTTACCAGAGGCTGAAGGGAGGGTGGACCGGGAAAGGGAAAATGTTAGTCAAAGGGTACGTTGTTTTGGTTAGACCGGAGGAATAAGTCCTAGTGATCTATTGCACAGCATGGTGAGTGTAGTTAACAATGTATTGTATATTTCAAAATTACCAAAAGACTCGATTTAATTTTAGTTTTAAATTTTGTAGAGATGGGCGTCTCACTACGTTGCCCAGGCTGGTCTCAAACTCCTCAACTCAACCATTCCTCCCACCTGGGCCTCCCAAAGTGCTGGAATTATAGGCATGAGCCACCACACCAGGCCTAAAAGAGTAGATTTTAAATGTTGTCACCACAAAGAAAGAATAAGTATGTGAGTGAGGTGTTGGATATGTTTTTTTTTTTTTTTGAGACAGAGTCTCACTTTTGTTGCCCAGGCTAGAGTGAGTGCCATGGCGTCAGCCTAGCTCACAGCAACCTCAAACTCCTGGGCTCAAGCGATCCTCCTGCCTCAGCCTCCCAAGTAGCTGGGACTACAGGCACGCACCACCATGCCCGGCTAATTTTTTTGTACATATACTTTTAGTTGGTCAATTAATTTCTTTCTATTTTTAGTAGAGACGGGGTCTTGCTCAGGCTGGTTTCCAACTCCTGACCTTGAGCAATCCGCCCGCCTTGGCCTCCCAGAGTTCTAGGATTACAGGCGTGAGCCACCACGCCCGGCCAGGGTTAAAGTCTTAAAATCAGCCAACGAGTATGCTTTGAAATAAAACCAGAAATACCAAGAAGGAAATGAGAATCAGGAAACAGTATCTGGTAGCACTTCAATGTACCAGGGACTATAAAAAGGCTTTTTGTTTGTCAAGCATGCCAAATGTGCTTCTTCCTCAGAGTCTTGCACTCATTTTCCCATGGCCTGGGACCGTAACTCCATTATTTATTAGACTTGCCAGCTTCCATTGTGAGGCCTTCCCTGACTATCCTATGACTATCCTATCATATCCACAGAATTCTCACTGCCACCCCCCGTTCCTACTCTCCAGGCCTTGCTTTATTTTTCTGTGCTGCACTTATTACCATCTAATGCACTGCATATATGCTTATTTATTTACTTACTTCCTGTCTCTCCCTCTCTGATATAAGCTCTATAATAACAGGAACTTTGTTTTTGTTTTGTTTTTTCTGTTGGTTTGTTTGTTTTTGTTTTCCTTGGAGACAAAGTCCTGCTGTGCTGCCCCAGCTAGAGTGCAGGGACATCATCATAGCTCACAGCAACCTCAAACTCCTGGGCTCAAGCGATCCTGCTGCCTCAGCTTCCTGAGTAGCTGGGACTACTGGTGTGCACCACCATGCCTGGCTAATTTTTCTTTTCTTTTCTTTTCTTTTCTTTTCTGTTCTTTTCTTTTCTTTTCTTTTCTTTTCTTTTCTGTTCTTTTCTTTTCTTTTCTTTTCTTTTCTTTTCTTTTCTTTTCTTTTCTTTTCTTTTCTTTCTCTCTTTCTCTCTCTCTCTCTTTCTTTCTTTCTTTCTTTCGAGATGGAGTCTTGCTATTTTTTTTTAAGTTATAAAGGTAAAATTTATTTTATCCTTTAGTACAAAAGAATGAGAGAGAGACAAAGAGACAGAGAGAGAGAGAGAAAGGGGTGGGGTAGAGGAGAACAGAGAGATGGCCTGGCATTCCAAAGAAAGAGAAGTGAGATGCCAGCAGTTAGGTCAAGTGGCTAGAGTCTGGCTCTTGCTCAGGCTGGTTTCCAACTCCTTTTTTTTTTTTTTTTTTTTGAGACAAAGTCTCACTCTATTGTCCAGGCTAGAGTGCCATGGCATCAGCCTAGCTCACAGCAACCTCCAACTCCTGGGCTCAAGCGATCCTTCTGCTTCAGCCTCCCGAGTAGCTGGGACTACAGGCATGCGCCACCATGCCCGGCTAATTTTTTCTATATATATTAGTTGGCCAATTAATTTCTTTCTATTTATAGTAGAGACGGGGTCTCGCTCTTGCTCAGGCTGGTTTTGAACTCCTGACCTCGAGCAATCCGCCCGCCTCGGCCTCCCTGAGTGCTAGGATTACAGGTGTGAGCCACTGTGCCTGGCCAGTCTCCAACTCCTGACCTCAAGCGATCCTCCTGCTTTGGCCTCCCAGAGTGCTAGGGACCTTCATTTTGTTTCCTGCTGTGCAGTACTGAGAAGAGCATGTGGCAAGAAATGAGTGCATACTATGATTGAAAACACTGCTTGTAAGAACGTAATTTTGAGAGGTAGAAAACAGGGTACTCATGTAAAAGCATGTTGCTTGAGTGACATCCCATCTACCTTTTCTTCGTACTGCTTGCCATAGGTTTTCTTCCAGAGATGCCAGTGATGATCCAGGGTAGGATCTCTATGCAGTTGTGCCATTGCAGAGCAGCACACCAAGAGCACCCAAGCCAGCCTGTTCATTCTGTTTAAGGAAAGGTAACATAGGAAGTGTAGTTATTAGCTGCATATATTGTGACCATATATTTTTTGTAACAAAAAATAGCAATTCAAAGTCTATCAAAGGGATGACTATTATAAATCAGAATTATACGGGAAACTTCCTGAGGTATATAATCACAGAGAATAACTGCAGATTTATGTCTGAAATACTTCCAATACTTAGTAGCACTTTAAAAAGTAATTTTCAAAAATTTCCCAATATCTGGTAAATGAAATACATCTAGGGGATTAAAAAGCAGGGATTTTCCAGGATTTGTCAACAAATCTAATCAAGAGAAATTCTCTTTCTAAGAAAAAAAATTATCCTTAGAAAGAGGACAAACCTCTGAAAAATCAGTTTATCTTCTGAATTTTTGAATACATGAGCTCTTCTTAACTGGTCTATTTAAATATCTACAACTTTTAGAGATAGTTAAAAGACAACTCCCATTTATTGCTTTCACATCCTTAGGTAATTTTCCTTTTTTAACTCTTTTTTTCAATGATCAAATATCTATTTCAAATGAAGCAATTAACTACTCTCTAAAACACCACTTCTATGTTTAATTCAAAGAGATTTTTAACACAAATTCAGTGACTAGTTCCCTCAAACTGGATTCTACTTTCTTTTCCATTTTTTTGTAATTAAAACATTTGTAATGAACCATGTAAACTTTCAAATTATATTCCAAAGAAAGCCATGTTTCGGCTTCAACTTAGATGCTCAAACACTAACTTAAAAAAAGAAAAAATAGACTCTTTTTAATCAGAAAGAGAAGAGACAAATTAAGTGACATGATTTTTTAGTTTACTTCCTGAAATTGAAGATTTAAAACTGGCACGCAGAGCGAGCCAAAAAACGTAAGCAGAACGTTTAAAGACCAAAGAGAGAAGGAGAACAAAACAAAACAGTACGTACATGATAGAACCAGCAGGTGCCCCCAAGGTAAGAGTCCTTGAGTTTGTGAGCTCTCTCCAAAGAGTTCAGAGGCAACAAGGAAACCTCAGTTGAAGTGACTTTAAAAAGAAATTGGAACTTGTCACATGAGGTATACACAATGAGGAAGTGAACTTTCATTTCAGTTTCATTTAAACTCTGACTAGATCAGCTACCTCTAGCCTCTCCCTATGGCCTTGGGGACAAAATGGGTACAGTAAGCCATCAGGAAGAGCCCCCAGTAGAGGGGATCAATAGAACAAACTCAGCAAAGCAAGAACAGTACAAGTTTATCCTTTAATCCTTATTTTGTTAGTTTGCTTTATTAAAAACACCTATTTTTAGGTGGAAAAAATTTAGTTATAAAAAGGTTAGGATTAAGTTCCTGAAATCTCAACTTCTGTGAATTCCTAGGAAAACCTGTGTTACTGCTTTCAATACAACTCATCCATGATCTACTGATTCTCACTCAGCTATTCCTATGTTCATCAATTCAAAATATCTTTATTAACATATACTATATATAGTATAGTTATACATTTATATATGTTAGAATATTCATGGAATAAAGGATACATCCATATGTAGCTAATTGCTAGAATGTTTACCTGAGTGGGGTGGGAACAAGATGAGCTATCATTTTTTAAAATTTGCATTTTCCTAATTACCAGTGAGGCTGAGCATCTTTTCACACATTTATTGACCACTTGAGTTTTCTGTAAATTGCCCGTTCATCTCTGTTGTTCATTTTTCTATTGCAGTGTTGCTTTTTCTTAGTGATTTGTAGGTTTTTTGTTTTTTTTTTTTAATATATTTTGGCTACTAATCTCCAACAGTCATATACACTAAAACCATTTTCTCTCAGTCTTCCACTTGTTTAAAGTGACTTTTTCTATATGAAATTTTAAAATATTAAGGTAGAGAATTTTATTCAGCTTTTCCTTATCATTTATACTTTCCATTTCTTGTTTAAGAAAGCTTTCCTCATCCCAATGTAATAAAGATACACTAATTTTATTCTCATAGTTTTAGAGAGTGTTTTATGTTTTTTTTCTATGGTTATTGCCTTTATGTCTTTAATCCATCTGGAATTTAGTTTTATGTATGCTGTGAGATAGGGAGTTTATTTGTTTTTCCATTTTGATGCTATTTCTGTTATACACCAAATTCCTATAAATACATGGGTCAGTTTCTGAGTTCGCTGAGCTATTCTTTTTATCTTTATTGCTACTTCAGTATCAGAAGTTTTTTTTTTTGTTTTTTTTTTTGAGACAGTCTCGCTTTGTTGCCCAGGCTAGAAGTGAGTGCCGTGGCGTCAGCCTCGCTCACAGCAACCTCAATCTCCTGGGCTCAGCGATCCTCCTGCCTCAGCCTCCCGAGTAGCTGGGACTACAGGCATGTGCCACCATGCCCGGCTAATTTTTTGTATATATATTTTTAGTTGGTCAATTAATTTCTTTCTATTTTTTGGTAGAGACGGGGTCTCGCTCAGGCTGGTTTCGAACTCCTGACCTTGAGTAATCCGCCCGCCTCGGCCTCCCAAAAGTATCAGAAGTTTTAATTAAAACAGCTTTGTAATATGTCTTCATGTCTGTAGAGCAAGTCATGCTTGCCACCCCCATGTTTGTTCTTCTTTTTAAAAGTTGTCTTGGCATTTGGTGCACGTTAACTTTTCCATGTGAATTCTTTGAATTAGTTTATCAAGTTCCCTGAAAAATTCTGTTACAGTTTTTATTTGAATATATATATATGTATATATATATATTCATAAATTTGGGGAGACTTAACATCATTACAATGTTGCATCGTCTCATCTGTACTAGACATTTTCATGTTTGTAGCCATCTAGGTTTTTTTAAAAGCTATGGAAAATTTCAAACATATATAAAAGTAGCAATAATAGTAAAGTAAGCCCCATAAAACCATTTCTTGCTTCAACAATTATCAGTACATGGCCAATCTTGTTTTATTTATACTCCTACTACCTAGATTATCTTGAAAGAAATCCTTGACATTATATTGTCTTATATTCCTATGTGTGTCTCTAAAAGATAAGAGATTATTAAATATAACCATAATACCATTATCACATCTAAAATAAACAATAATTGCTTAATGTTATACAATATCTTATCAGTGTTCACATTTCGCTGACCATCTTATACATTTTTTAACAATTTGTTTGTTTGAATTGAGATCCATGTAAACTCAGTATATTGTAAAATCATTGAGTTGTGTTTGTATCATTACCAAATCCTTAATATATGGATTAAACATATTTGATGTGTTTCAATCCATTGCAGTTTTATCATTATTGACACTCATCTTGTCTCATCTTTGGTCAGTGGGAATCTATTCAAATTGGCTCTTGGGTCCTGAGTCCCTGTTGGACATGACATTCGTACTCTTTAAAAGTTTCCTCTAGATCGGGTGTGGCGGCTCACACCTGTAATCCCAGCACTCTGGGAGGCCAAGGCAGGCGGATCGATCAAGGTCAGGAGTTTGAAACCAGCCTGAGCAAGAGTGAGACACCAACTCTACTAAAAATAGAAAGAAATTAATTGGCTAACTAAAAATATATAGAAAAAATTAGTTGGGCATGGTGGCGCATGCCTGTAGTCCCAGCTACTTGGGAGGCTGAGGCAGGAGGATTGCTCAAGCCTAGGAGTTTGAGGTTGCTGTGAACTAGGCAGATGCCACAGCACTCTAGCCTGGGCAACAGAGTGAGACTCTGTCTCAAAATAAATAAATAAATAAAATAAAAGTTTCCTCTATTTCTGTATGACAAGCTATTGCAGCCTTATCTTAAACAATTCTTACCCCACAGCTGGAATCAGCCATTTCTCTAAGGAGCTATGGTTCCTTTTAGTGGAGATGATGTTTAAATACCATAATCTAGGCACTAGAAGTGTTGCTGACACCAGATTGACCACTGTTTCTAAGCCATTTCAATAGACATAGCTAGGAAATATCCTTTAAAAAAAATATTAAAATCTGTACCCCCATAATATGCTGAAATAAAAAAAAAAGAAAAAAAAATAAAATATGTAAAAAAAAATAGATCACAAGCTCACACTGATACTTCAAATTCAAATTTGAGACTCTGGGAGTTACTCAACTTTATCAATCTTGTATCTGTACCTCTTTTCAACATACTAAAAAAATCTGAGTTCTCTAAAATACCAACTCAAGTACTCATTTAATTTATCCTATAATATTCCATAATAACAACAAGAGGTCTACAACTAATAAGCTTATTACTGAGAACAAATTTAGGATTTTAAAGGGAGACAGATTTTTACCCCTGGGACCATATCCCACTAAGGATGTAAGTCAATTACTATGTTTTGAAGTTACCTGGAATAGCTCCCTGTACGGTTATGCCACCACCTCTATACATAGTTAGGTTTATTCATTTCATTTTACTTCTGATTTGTAGGCATTGCTTCTTAAATTTATGTAATTTTGTTTTTTAATTGTGTAAACCATTTATTTGGATCCAAAGTCAAATCAACAAAATGAAGTACATTCAAAGAATTGTAGCCCTTATTTTTTTCCCCTCTACATTTTCTTCCTTGACAGGTAACCATCTAAACAATTTATGATTTATCGGTCCCATTTTTAAATATATGCAAATATACATATATATTAGTATTCTTCCTTCCTTAAGTGAATGCTAACATATTATATGTACTTTCCTTCATCTTCTTTTTCACTTAACATTGTGTTAAGAAAAATTATTCAATACTTAGAAATAGGAAAAAGAGATTACCAGTTGTTCTTTCATCTGCACCTTTGGGAGGATTGTTTGATTCTTTTCAACTCTATAGGAATAAAGTTAAATTGTGAAACCCTGATAACCATGCAGATTATTTCTATACATAACAATGCAAATGAATTTTGTCTCGATTTTACTGAGTAGATAATGTAAACCTCTGTCACTCAAATTCTTATTTGAAACAATTTTAATATCTTACTGATCCCTTATTAATTAATGAGTTGAATAAAATCTTTGACGTGTGTTCATTGTATATTTGTAAAGGAGTCATGTTCTTAAATTTTTGGAAACTACACTTTAGCAAATAAAGCCTGAAAATAACTCCACAGAGTAATATATAGTCCTCTTTTATTTTTATGGCCACCAGTTTCTTTTGAATAATCTTCCTATGTTTAGAGAATTTCCCACATTATAAATTTTGCTTCTCCAAATTGAAGACAAAACTGTATCTTTGAGCCTCCACTGCAGTTAAGGCAGATGTCAATCAAACACACCTATGAAAAACATCATTTGGGGAGTGGGTAAGTGAGGAAGTAGGTGCATGTAGAATCCTCCTTTTGATGAGCATGGCAGTAGAGCTGACCCCCAGAAGCAGCAGGAGCAGCAGCAGATACACTGACATCTGGTCCCCAGTGTCACCTGTACAAGTTGTAGTGTTTATGTCAAATACTGTATCTGTTCAGTGGCGTCATAGGTTGAGCAGCTTTCTCTGTGTGGTTTGGGTGATGATCGTGGTACATAATCTGCAAGCCTGACCGACTCTCTGGCTTTTCAGAGATTCTGTGAGCTTCCTGCACTTTTTGAATAAATTATAGTACCCAGATAGACGAACCCAAGAATGACATTCACAGAAGTGATGAGTCTGTAAAAACAAGGGCTGGCTCTCAGAAGGGAGATTGGGAAGATATTTTTCTCAGGCTGTGAATAGAGGAAATGCAAGAAGAAAGTTATTGTGTAACTCTCAGTCACTTCAGATTGTCTTCTCTGCCTTTCTTTTACACATCTGATACCTTAGCTGATAATTTGCTTTTAGCCTTGATGCCTTTATATATATTTGTACCCGAGAAACATATGGCTCAATTTCCTTAATGAGGAAATGAACATAAAAACAAATTTCTTTCTATAAAGATAAAAATGTTTTTTTTTTCAAGACAACTGTTTTTACAAGGGACCGTGTTTTTTTCCCCAGTCATTATTTCTCTGCTTGACAGGATCATAAACCTACACTCAGTACACAGCATAAATATGGTAATTGGGCAACAGATAAGGGCTTCCTGCCTCCATTACTGGAGATTGCCTAAATGGGATTGTGTATGAAATTATTTCACTAGCTGTTTCAGGTAATCTTCTACCAAATGGGCAAAAAATTAGGGATAAGAATTAGGGGTTAGTTGTGTTGTCTAGTGGTGCTCTAAACAGAATTCAGGGCAGCAACTGCCATCTAAGTATCTTCCC